CCACATCCACAGGGATTTTAAATCCCTCCAGGGATGGGGATCCACCACTGCACTGTGCAGCTGTGCCAGGGCTGGACAGCCCTTTCCAGGAAGAAATTTTCCCCAATATCCAACTTAAACTTCTTCTGGTGCAATTTAAGGCCGTTCCCTCTCCTCCTGTCCCTTGTTCCCTGGGAGCAGAGCCCAACACCCCCCCAGGTCCCCCCTCCTGTCAGGGAGTTGCAGAGCCAGAAGGTCCCCCCTGAGGCTCTGTGGCACAGAACTGCTGTCCCCAGGTGCTCTGAAGGCTCACCAGCTGCGTGGCCGTGCGGAAGGCACGGATGATGATCTGGGGATGGAGCCCTTCCTCCACGTAGGGCTTCACCTGCTTCAGGAACTCGGCTGCCAGCAGAGTCACGGACGTGGTGCCGTCACCAACCTGCGAGGAGAGGGAACAGTGTCACCCACAGGCTGTGATACCAGCTGCAAAACCACGGAGGGCTGGCAGGGATATCAAGATTTCAGGGTTTTCTCTGCTTGTGGATTTGTGGGCAGATTCCTTAGTGGTTCATTGAATCATGGAATGGTTTGGGTTGGAAGAGATATTAAAGTTCACCTTGTTCCACCCACTGCCATGGGCAGGGAAACCTTCCACTAAACCAGGTTGCTCCAACCTGGCCTTGGACACTTCCAGGGATCCAGGGGCAGCCACAGCTTCTCTGCCCAACCTGGGACAGGGCCTCAACACCCTCACAGACAGGAATTCCTTCCAAATATCCCACTCAAATCTCCCCTCCTTCAGCTTAATCCATTCCCTGTGTCCTGTCCTTCCATCCCTTGTCCCCAGTCCCTCTCCAGCTCTCCTGGAGCCCCTTCAGGCCCTGCCAGGGGCTCTCAGCTCTCCCTGGAGCCTTCTCTTCTCCAGGGGAACCCCCCCAGCTCTCCCAGCCTGGCTCCAGAGCAGAGGGGCTCCAGCCCTGGCAGCAGCTCCGGGGCCTCCTCTGGACTCTCTCCAGCAGCTCCACGTCCTTGTGCTGTTGTTCCCAGGGCTGGAGGTAGCTCTGCAGAGGGGGTCTCAGCTGAGACAGGGGCAGAGGGGCAGAATCCCCCCCTGCCCTGTGCCCACGCTGGGGGATCAGGGCACATGGGGGAGTCTGGGCTGGGGCATCTCCAGCCTCTCCCCCACCCACACCCCCAAGTCTTTCTGGGCTCTCAATCACTTCATCCCCAGCCTGGATTGACACCAGGGATTGCCCCAGCCCAGATGCAGCACCAGCACTTGGTCTTAGACTAAGAAGAGCTGGGTTTAGACTGCATCCCATTTAGGGTGAACTCCCATTTCCCAGTCTCCTCTACTCATAAAACACGAACTTCATCTCTGAAGTTCCCAAACCACCCATCAGATCCGGGCCAAAGAGCTCAAAACATTCGAAAGTTATTCCAAAAGAGAGGGGATCAAGAGAGAAACCAGGATAAATCCCAGCACTCCATGAGCAATTCCCAAAGCCCACAGGCTCCCGAGCACAGCCAGGCTCCCATCCCACCTCTGCATCCTGGGATTTGGCAATGTCCACCAAGGTCTTGGCGGCGGGATGGACGACGTCGAGGAGCTTCAGGATGGTGGCACCATCGTTGGAGATCGTGGCTTTGCCTGGGATTGATGGAAAAAAGGAAGTCAAGTTTCACCACCGGGATAAAGCCCTCGGCCCTGTGTCTCAGGGGGTCTCAGCAGATTCCTCTGTTCCATCTCCATAATGTCTCCTCAGCCCATTTTTGGAGCAGATTCAGGTTCAGAGTGTGAAACAACTCCCCACACCAATTAAGAGGGGCTTAGATTTCTCTCTGATTTCTCAGCAGCCTCCCCAGACAGATAAAAACATATTCTGGCCTGACACTCAGGTGAAAAAAAGCCTAGAAATCATACCAGTTATTAGATAAATTTAAATCCAATTACCCTTTTTAATTTCGTTATTACAGTTCCTATTTGTAATGACTCTTTAAAGACAATAGTAAGACTTTCCACCCCACCCTTGAATAAACAAAAATAACACACAATAATTAGTTTGGTGACATCATACAAGTCTTTTCAGAGAGAGTATGAGTCTCACCCCTAAATCACACTCCAAAAAAAGATTAAAAATCAACCCAGTAACACCCACTGAGCTCTCAATGAGCCTCACTTAAAACATAAATAAATAGAGATGGCCACAAATACCTGAAGGCCAGGTTCAAGACACCCTGTTTTTCCTTTCTGACATGGATTTTCTCATATCCAGTCCCACTAACTCTGGATTTACCCAATCTCACCCCAGGGCCTCCTCACTCTAACAGCCAAGAATTCCTTTCCAACATCCCACTCAAATCTCCCCTCCTTCAGCTTAATCCATTCCCCGTGTCCTGTCCTTCCATCCCTTGTCCCCAGTCCCTCTCCAGATCTCCTGGAGCCCCTTTAGGCCCTGCCAGGGGCTCTCAGCTCTCCCTGGAGCCTTCTCTTCTCCAGGGGAACCCCCCCAGCTCTCCCAGCCTGGCTCCAGAGCAGAGGGGCTCCAGCTCCTTGGAGCATCAGAAGCTGAGCTTTGAGGAACATGAAGACAATTCTGAACATCTGGAATTGCGAAGGAAGGTCCGGAATTGTGCTGGAAGGTCTCCCTGGAGCCTTCCCTTCCCCAGAGCCCCAGTTCTGCACACAGCAAACAGGGAATTCCTCAGGTTGGTCTGACAATTATCCTTCATTCCACTGTGTTAAAGTGACACCGAGACAGAAACTGAACCTCTGCTGGGAGAGTCAAGTTTATTAGGAGGTCAAGAAGCTGAAACTTTCATATATGCAAATGCTGGGATTAATTGATAAGAGGATATGAGTAAACAGGTTGCTCTGGGAGGTGATTCCCAGGCCCCTTTCCCACATCCTTACCCCGGTCATCCACGATGAGCTTGTCCATGCCCCGCGGCCCCAGCGTGGTGCGCACGGCCTCGGCGATCACCTGGCAGGCATTGATGTTGCTGACCAGCTGGGGGATTCCCTGGGAGGTGTCCGTGCCCTCCTTCAGCAGGATAACCGGAGTGGGCTGAGGAGAGAACCCGCGGCAGAGCCGTCACTCCCATCCCAACGACCCGGAGCAAACTCCTCACACAGCCCACAGCTCATCCAGGACCAAGAGCAAACCCCACAGACTCCTTAAGAGTTCCTCTGCTTTCCCCTTCCCACTGTGTTGGGAATTCACCCAACTGCTTCCACTCTGGGACTGCAGAGTAACTGTCCCAAAAATAAGGGGGGGGTTTTTGGTGGTGTTGTGCTCAGTGAGGTTCTGATTCTGATGCTGGAGTTGGAGAAGACAGAACATGGAATTATTACTGAGACAGCAAGGAACTGAACAAATTTAGGCGGTGGAAAGGGGTTCACCTGGAGAAGAAAAGGATCCAGGGAGACCTGGGAGCCCCTGGCAGGGCCTAAAGGGGCTCCAGGAGAGCTGGAGAGGGACTGGGGACAAGGCCTGGAGGGACAGGACAAGGGGAATGGCTTCTCAGTGCCAGAGGGCAGGGTTAGATGGGATATTGGGAAGGAATTCCTGTCTATGAGGGCGGTGAGGCCCTGTCCCAGGTTGGGCAGAGAAGCTGTGGCTGCCCCTGGATCCCTGGAAGTGTCCAAGGCCAAGTTGGACAGGGCTTGGAGCAACCTGGGCTAGTGGAAGGTGTCCCTGCCCATGGCAGGGGGTGGAAGTAAATGGTCTTTAAGGTCCCTTCCAATCCAAACTATTCCATGAGCGATGCAACTGTCTCACAGACAGAGCCCAGACAAAGACTGAACAGAGCCAAAATTGGGGAGGCACCGGTTTGGAAGAGAGAGGGAAATTAAAGCATGGCTGTGACAAGAATAAAAACCACAAGGAGCTACAGGAAAGGGTCCTTAAGATGGATCTGGAGGGACTCAATGATCCCTTAAGAGAGTCTGGAGCACCTCTCTGATGAGGAGAGATGGACTTGGTTAGTCTGGAGAAGGCTGAAAGGGGACCTCATTAATCCATATAAATATCTTCAAAGGGTGTCAGAGGATGGTCCCAGATTCGTTTTGGTGGTGCCCAGCAACAGAACATAAACTAAAACACATCAAGTTCCACCTTAACATGAGGAAGAACTTTCCATGGAGGTGGTAGAGCCCTGGAACAGCTGCCCAGGGAGGGTGTGGAGTCTCCCCCTCTGGAAACATCCCAAACCCACGTGGATGAGTTCCTGGGTCACCTGCTCCAGGTGACCCTGCCTGGGCAGTGGGGTTGGACTGGGGGAATCTCCGGAATTCCCTTCCAATCCTATTCTGCAATCCCTAAATCCCGGGGAAGGCTTTGTGGACGGAGAAGCACGGAGCTCTTCCACACCCGCCCGAGCAGCGATCTCAATGGAAAAAAGGAACTGTTTATCCCCGGGAGAAACGAAGGTAGCGGCACAAAAACCGAAGGGACTCGGGGCCGGAGGGGAGGGTGCGGGACGGAGCCGCGGGATCAGCCCCGCCAGGACAGCCCTGGACCCGGCGGGAAGCGCCGCCGTCCCGCCCCATCCCATCCCGGCTACCCCAGGCCTGCGCGGCGGGGCGGCCCCATCGCCGCGCCCCATCGCGCCGCAGCCGCTCGGGACGCGTTCCCCGGAGGGCAGCGGGGGCCCCGCGGGTTGTTCCTGGCGGGAATGCCCGTGGATGGCGCTGGATGGCGCTGGATGGCGCGGGAGGATCACTCACCATCATCGCGGCGGCCGCTGCGCTGCCCCCACCCCACAATGCACCGCGCACGCCCAGAACCTTCCCGGGGGCGGGGCCTCTGGATCACTATTTGGCAGCGGGGAAGAGCGAGAGGGCAGCGTTGCAAAGCCGGAAAGCTCACTATTTAGCAGCGCGCGCCGAGGTGACAGCGCGCTGCCCGCGCCGGCTCGCGGTTGATGGATGGCCGTGTGGACCAATAGAAACGAGGCGAGCGGGGGGTTCCGCCAATGGCGGGCGCGGGGCGGGGCGGTGGGCGGGGCGCGGCGCAGCCATGCTGCCCTGGCTCTGGCTCTGGCTCTGGCTCTGGCTCTGCGGCTGCTGCGGGACGGCCCGCGGTGAGTGAGGGGGGCACGGCACGGGCCCCGCACGGCACCGACCCCCCGACCCCGCGTCCGGACCCGGCCCCCGCACCCCCGACCGGCCGCCTGCCTGCTCGGTGCTCCGCGATCCCCGTGTATTTCCACTCCCCGCATGCCGGCCCCGTTGCGATTCACCGCCTGGACCCGTGGAGGGATGCGGGGGCATTTCCCCTCGCTGCGCCCCGACCTAATTGCGTTTCTCCTCCTGCATCCCGGCCTGGGTGCATTTCCCCTCCTGCATCCCGATCTGGGGGCAATTCCCCTCCTGCATCCCGATCTGGGGGCAATTCCCCTCCTGCACCTCCATCCCGGTGCAGTTCCTCTCCTGCCCCCCAATTCAGGTGCATCTCCCCTCCTGTGTCCCGTTCCAGGTGCATTTCCCTCGGTGCACCCCGACCTAATTGCTTTTCCCCATCCAGCACCCCAATCCAGCTGCATTCCCCCTTGGTGCACCTCGAGCCCGTTGCATTTCCCCTCCTGAACCCCAATCCAGGTGCACATCCCTTCGCTGCATCCTGACCCCGTTGCATTTCCCCTCCGTGCCCTGTGATCCAGGTGGATTTCCCATCACTGCATCCCAGTTCCATGCCATTTCCCCTCCTGCACGCCAATCCAAGTGAATTTCCCCTCTGTTCACCTCAATCCCTTCCACGGTCCATTTGCATTTTCCTCTTCCCCTTGTTCACCCTAGTCCACCCCAATCCCAGTGCCTTTCCCCTCCATCCCTTCTTAGCTCCTGGGAACTGTTGTATCTCCCCTTGGAGCATCCCAAAACCTGACATTTTGGGTCCCGGGCCCATCCGGGACCCAACATCCCAAAGGGTGTGTTCCCTCCCCCGTGGTTCAGGAGCGATAAGTGAGAATTTTCCCATTTTTTCAGGGATTTTCCCTGCAGTTTTCCTTGCCTCTCACCTCTCTCCATTCACCCCCAGGTCTACGCATCCATGAATACTTGTACTTCCAAGTGCTCAGTCCCGGGGACATCCGTTACATCTTCACTGCCACTCCAGCCAAGGATTTTGGTGGCGTGTTTGTAAGTATTTAAAACTCAGTTTGTCACTCTGGCTCCCTCCACCCCAATATTTCTCCTTTGTGGGACTCAGTGATTTGGATTTTTGATAAAAACAGAGCTAATTGCTCTTCCATGAGCATCCTTGGCCTCAGCAGGCTTCCAGAGGCAGGGATTGGGCTGGCTGTGCCGGAGTTGGAATGGGGCACCTGGAAGCTCAAAATCTCCCCAAATGAGCAGGATATGGGACATTGAGGGGCTGAAACGTGTCCAGGGAAGGGAAGGGAGCTGGGGAGGGATCTGGAGCACCAGGAGAGGCTGAGGGAGCTGGGGGGGCTCAGCCTGGACAAAAGGAGGCTCAGGGGGGACCTTCTGGCTCTGCAACTCCCTGACAGGAGGAGGGAGCCGGGGGGGGGTTCAGGCTCTGCTCCCAGGGAACAAGAGGAAAAATGACCTCGAGTTTTGCCAGGGGAGGTTCAGGTTGGATACTGTGAAAATTCCTTCCTGGAAAGGGTTGTCCAGCCCTGGCACAGCTGCCCAGGGCAGTGGTGGAGTCCCCATCCCTGGAGGGATTTCAAAGCCATGTGGATGTGGCACTTGGGGACATGGGTCAGTGGTGGCCTTGGCAGTGCTGGGCAGTGCAGGGACAGCTGGAGTGGGGCTGGGAATGGGAAGCAGCTCCGATGCCTCATCCCTGCCTGTTTCCCTCCCGAAGAATACAAGGTACGACCAGATCCACCTGGTCCCGGCAGATCCTCCGGAGGCCTGTGGGGAGCTGAACAATGGGGTCTTCATCCAGGACCAGATCGCCTTGGTGGAGAGGGGGTAGGTCTGGCATCACAGGGCTTTTAGGGGGACCCTTGGGCAGGAGGGGAGATGCCCATGGCACTGTCACAGTGCCATGGCCACATCTCCCCTTCACCTCCAGCTTCTTCTCCACGTGGGTAAACGAGGAAAACACGAGGGTGTTCCTACCCCAGAACACTTCATCTTGTGTCTTTTAGCCTGTGCTATGGGGGAAAAAAACCCATCTGGGTTCACACTGAGAGAGGTTTAGATGGGATATTGGGAGGAAATTCCTCCCTTTGAGGGTGGGGAGGCCCTGGCACAGGTTGCCCAGAGAAGCTGTGGCTGCCCCATCCCTGGAAGTGTCCAAGGCCAAGTGGGACGGGGCTCAGAGCAACCTGAGATAGTGGAAGGTGTCCCTGCCCATGGCAGGGGGTTTGAACTATATAATGTTCCAAGTCCCCTCCAACCCAAACCATTCCATGATTCCATGATTCTATTTTTCTTTAGCAGTGTGGGTGGTTTGTGCCTAAAATAGAGACTCAGAGGAGCGCGGCTGGGGCGAGGCGCGGGATCGGAGAGACAATCCCTGGGCTGGGTGTCTCCAGGCAAGGCCCTGGCACTTCCAGGCTTTGCACCTACCAGCGGGCACCGAAATTTTGTCCCTCTGTGCCCCAGGGGCTGCTCGTTCCTGTCCAAGACCCGAGTGATCCAGGAGCACGGCGGGCTGGCCGTGATCATCGCCGACAACGCCTACGACAACGACAGCTTCTACATCGAGATGGTGCAGGACAGCTCCCGGCGCACAGCCGACATTCCTGCGCTCTTCCTGCTGGGCAGGGACGGGTGGGTGCCCTGGCACATCTCCCCAAGGGTGGGACAGCTCATGGGAAGGGCAAAGCGATGCCTTGTCCCCACAAAACGGGGTCCCAGCGATCAGCGTGTCCCTCCTGGGCTTTGCGGGACAGATTTGGAGTGGATTCAGTCATGATTAATCCACAGTTGGAGCTTTATGGCTGAGTTGGAGCTGTATGGTTCGGGTCGTGGTTTATGCTCAAGGCTGGGCTTCAAGTCTCCCAAATCCAGCGGCTCTGGAACACCTGTCACCTCTTATCCTTCCAGGTACATGATCAGGCGCTCCCTGGAGCAGCACGGGCTCCCCTGGGCCGTCATCTCCATCCCCGTCAACGTCACCAGCATCCCCACCTACGAGATGATGCAGCCCCCCTGGACCTTCTGGTAGCAGCAGGAGGCTGTGGCGGATCGTGGGCTTCCCAGTGGATCCCAGGAGTTTCCCCTAAGCACCAGGTTTGGAGTCCCAACGTCTTCCAGAGATCCCACTGGATTCGGCAACGGGGAGATCTTCCTGCTGGCCAAGTGCCAGGTGGGATCGGAGAGCACCCTTGGCTGTGACTTTGTGGGAGGGAGGTGATGGCCCAGAGCAGGCCAGCGCTTCCCAGGAAACATTTGAACTTGTGCTGCTGATTTGGTGGGATGCAGGACTGGCAGGGATGGGAGGGAGAGCGACACAGGCTTGGTCTGGACCAGCAGGGCTCGCCCCATGTCTGTATATTTTTGTCTGAGCTAATGAAGTCTGAATGTTTTAGAGAAAGGGAATTTTCTCCTTTTTTCTTTCAGCAGTCAGGGGATGAAGGGATAAATCTCATCCCCTAATATTTTTCCTAGTAAAATTCCCAAAGTGCCTCCTGCAGCTGGGACAGTGCTCAGGCCAGACCCCAGACATGGGGTGAAGCAGCACCATGGCAGAGCCGTGGGGACAGCACCTGTCCCCAAGGTGTGTGTCCCTGGTCACAAATCCAGAGCCCACACTCCCACAGGTGCCTATTCCCTCATCCCCAGACCTGTGGCCCCACAGGACCAGCCCCTGGGTCACTCACCACGCTCCAGTTTACCAGTACAAACCACAGGATCCCAGTTCTCACCAGTCTCGGTTTATTACGAACACTGAAGGGACGCGGCCCCTGGACGGTTGGGGACAAGCAGTGGGGTCAGGGCTGGAGGTGATGGCAGTGTCAGAGGTGTGTCACCCTCAGTCCCACAAGCCAGCTGCCACGGACACAGCGGTGGGAAAACAGCTCCCCAAAATCCATGAGGGGAGGGAATAACCCCGGAGCACACGCCCGGCCTGCTGCCTGTCCATCGCCGGGAGCCGTGTTGTCCGCAGACAGGGACACTGCAGCACGTGGTGTGGCCTCGTCGGTGGCAGCGTGGGATGGGTGACAAGGGGACATCCACGTGGGGCCACTCGGTGCCAGGACATCTCTACGTGGGGCCACTCGGTGCTGGGATGTCTCCATGTGGGAATTCGAGGTGGGGAAGCGCACAGCAGCTCCCGCTCGGGCACATCCTCGTCCCACTGCCGGACAGAGGGACAACTCCCAATGTCTTTGGGGTTTTGGATGACACCACATGTCAGCTCTGGGATGCTGGGATGCTCTGGCCATTCTCCATCCCCAGATGGTCCTGGAATCACTGCTTGGGGCTGTGTTGTTGGAAGGACGGGCTGAGTCAGGAAGGAGGTGCCTGCAGGATCGGCTCTGCTCTCCCTGCTGGACTCAGGATCTGAACCCCCCTCTAAGGTGTCCCTGTCCCTGCAAAATCCCCTCACTGCTCACCAAGGCATGGAATGGAGGATACATAAGGACCCCGGCTCCGTAGTGCGTAGATAGTGCTTATATAGACATTAAATAGTTCCCCTCGTGCACAAACACACACACGCACACATTCCCTCATCCCTGCGGGGCGGGAAGGACAAGCTCCTCCGCATCCACGGCCGGCACAGACACGGAGCAGCCTCGAAGGTGGCCACAAGGAGGGGCTGGCTGGATCCTGCTCTCTTCCAGCTTCCTCTGCAAGCACCAGCCAGCCCCTCCGGGAAGCAGGATGTGGCAGAGGGACACCAGCTCACAGCTTGTCCTCACAGGGAGGACGGGGACAGCCTCACACACACACACACACACGCAGGGACAACACAGACAGGCGGGAGCAGGACCTGCCTCCGGCTGCCCCACTCCGGCACCTCCGCACGGCCGCCCACCCGACCCCACAACACAACCCTGTTCCTTGGATGAAAGCTGCTGCCTCTGGGAGGAACCCCCAGTCCCTTCCCGTCCCTTCCCTTCCCTGTCCTCTTGCCAGGATCAAACGTCAGTCATCTCATCCTCCAGCTCGGCATCGTCCGTCTCTCCCTCGCCCTCCTCGTCTTCGTCCGACGTCACGTCGGCGTCGTCGGCTTGCGCCAGGCACTTGGGACACGAGCAGGTAAACAAGTAGTTCTCCCTGGGAAAATGGGAAGGAAGGAGGAAAAAGATGGATGGCGTTGAGACAGGCACAAGCCCACACTGTTGCTGGGCAGGGGTCAGGGACAGAGCAGCCAGGAAAGGGGCTAAATGTGTTAAATCCAGAGGAGTCTGAGGGTTCCATCCTGCTGGTTCAGGTGGGGTGAAGGTATTCCAGGTGGGGAGGGGGATTTCTCAGCCCCACGGGGTGATGGCACACGGGGACAGTGACCACCAGCAGGAACCTCTACCCTTGAAGGGCAGAGAAGGAAAAGGAAGGTGGTGGGGACTGCAAAGGGTCTGCAGGAGCGAACTGCAGAGTGGTGCAGGGAGAGGGGGGAGCCCAAATCCTCAGTCCCCGGGGCTACAACACATAAGAAGGGAATTCTTACATGGAATTCACACACAGCCACACACCACACAGGGCCCCAGGGTGGGGGTGCTGCCCAGACAGACAGTTTGGAGGTGCAAAGGGGTGTGGGGGCCCCCCCAGGTACCTCCAGGCAGCCCCTACCTGAGTATCTTGTTGCGGCTGTGTCTGCTCCGCTCCCTCTGACAGCAATCTAAGTAACTGATGCAGATTTCCTGCGAGCAAAGAGAAACAGGTTGGGCTCAGGATGACTTCCCACGACCCCAAAGCAGCACAACTTGTGCCAGGCCCTCTCAGAGTCAGGCAGAAATGGGGTCTGGCAGCCCCTACACGGGACGGGGATCGAATTCTTCTGCCGGGACAACACGGGAGACAGGAGGTATTGAGGGATGTTGGGGACACAGGGATGATGCCAAGGTGTGATGTCACCACCCAGGCCCTGCTGTCTCACCTCTCCTGCTTCGATGTCCTCCAGAGCAGTGAGATGCAGGAGGAAGTTGTTTTCTGGGAAGGATGTCTCGGCATTGGGGATGCAGCTGTGGTTACCTGTGGGCAAGACAGTCTCTTTGCTAAATGCTTGAGTGGCTCCTGGAAACTACATCATATCTGAGTCCATCCAAGCCAGAACTGACCATTCCACACCTAGGCAAGGGGCCACAGACCCTGGGAGAGCAGCCAGGCTCCAGGGCAGCACCCATCCCATTCCATCCCAAGGCTGGGAAGCACAAACCCCTTTCTCCAGAGGCTTTTAGGAAGAGGTGAACCAGCCTAACACAGGACATTTCCCTCCTCACTCCTAGTTTTCCTCCCAGTCCTCGTTACTTACAGCAGCTCTGGAGCACGTAGAGCCCTGATCCCTCGCAGTTGAGGAACTCTCCAGACTCTGCAGCACAGAGAGGTGGTGTTAGAGCTTTACACAGACCATTCCAGCTCTTCCACATGGGAGCACAGAGGGATTTGCAGCAACGTGGAATGCACTGGCTTGGTTTTAAGACCCAGCCAGCGCTGCTCTGGGGCCGGGTGTGTGAGGGTGATTTCTCAAGCACCCTTCCCTCCCCATGAGAGGGGATGGAGGGCAGGAAAGTTTGCATCCCCAGGCTCCCTGTCCTGCCCCTGCATTCCCACAGATCCTCACCCTTCTCGATGTCCTTGTAGAGCTGGTCGATGAAGGCGTCCAGCTCCTCCCGCTGCAGCATCGGCAGATCCAGCGCGTCACACGCGTGGACCCACTGGCTCAGGGAGCTGTGGGGAAGAGAGGGACACTTACAGTCTCATGGTGCTGTCAGGAAGCACAGGGACACTGTGACAGTCCCACAGTGGTGTCAGGAAGCACAGGGACACTGTTACAGTCCCACAGTGGTGTCAGGAAGCACAGGGACACTGTTACAGTCTCATGGTGCTGTCAGAAAGCACAGGGACACTGTTACAGTCTCATGGTGCTGTCAGAAAGCACAGGGACACTGTTACAGTCTCATGGTGCTGTCAGGAAGCACAGGGACACTGTGACAGTCCCACAGTGGTGTCAGCAAGCACAGGGACACTGTTACAGTCCCACAGTGGTGTGCAGGCACAGCACTGTTACAGTCCCACGGTGTTATCAGGAAGCACAGGGACACTGTTACAGTCCCACAGTGCTGTCAGGAAGCACAGGGATACTGTTACAGTCCCACGGTGTTATCAGGAAGCACAGGGACACTGTTACAGTCCCACAGTGCTGTCAGGAAGCACAGGGACACTGTTACAGTCCCACAGTGCTGTCAGGAAGCACAGGGATACTGTTACAGTCCCACGGTGCTGTCAGGAAGCACAGGGACACTGTTACAGCCCCACAGGGCTGTCAGGAAGCACAGGGACACTGTGACAGTCCCACAGTGCTGTCAGGAAGCACAGGGACACTGTTACAGTCCCACGGTGTTATCAGGAAGCACAGGGACACTGTTACAGCCCCACAGGGCTGTCAGGAAGCACAGGGACACTGTGACAGTCCCACAGTGCTGTCAGGAAGCAGCAGGACCTATCATGGTCCCACAGTGTTGTCAGCACACGGTGGGATCTCACAGAGGGGATCCAAGGTGGCTCTGAGCAGCCAAGGTGGGAGAGGTATGCCAAAGGGTTGGACACAGCCAAGACAAAGTTTTTCAAGTCTTTCCCTCCATTCTCCTTTCTGAAACCCAGCCTTACTCAGGAGAGCATGGATTTACATTCTACATCTCTGCTGCCCTGCAAGGAACACCCATTACCTGGTTCCACAAAGCCCCTTTACCTGGTTCCTATGCCTTGGCCATTGGCCCCAACGAGGGCAAAGAGGGATTGAAAGCCTTCTGGAGTGAACCACTGCAGGAGGGAGAGGAGAAAGGAACTGAGTCCAGGCCAGCCTGCAGCATCACCCCACTCTGCAGTGCCTCAAATCCCACAGGGAGCTTTGGGGGAAGCAAGGAATGAATGAATGGGCAGATTCCTTAGGCTGTTTGGGAGGCAGATCCACTCACCCTGCTGAGATACTCGTCATAAAGGGCTTCGGTGAAGAGCAACCGCAGCAGCTCCAGCTGGCCCTGGCAGGACAAGGAGCAGGCAGGGTGAGGAGATGTCACTGTCACTGGGTGCCAACCTCAGGCTGAGGGCCCAGCCCAGGACAGGCCACAAGGCTCAGGAAGGAGTCAGGCTCCTCATCCTTCCCTGCAGGGCTGGAGGCTGCTGCCCTCACAGCAGCAAAAGCCACTCATTTTAGCAGCAAAA